CCCCCCCCCAATAAAATACTCATGTATCTAAAATACTTGGATAACCCCCTAACATTAATTAGTAGTAATAAAATTTGCCCACCAGGTGCTAAAACACGCAATGAAGAGTTATCTAAAGCCCCCCCCCCAAAAAAAAACATTATTCATTTATCTAACATATTTAAATAGCCCCTAACATTAATTAGTAGTAATAAAATTTGCCCACCAGGTGCTAAAACACGCAATGAAGAGTTATCTAAAGCCCCCCCCCCAAAAAAAAACATTATTCATTTATCTAACATATTTAAATAGCCCCTAACATTAATTAATGGAATTAACGAAGTTGATAGTACTTCTTATTTACATTTTTTGTTGCTCGCATGTCATTGGGGATCCTGTAACCACCAAAATTAGTCATTTTCTGCACGAATAGATAAAACAATGATATACACCGATAGGTTTAATTTCCAACAGTAATTTTACGGTTAAAAATAACGTTTCGAAGAGCTGGTGTTTGGTATTTTGAAATGAATCAAACATGATTCTTCATGTGCCAAGAAAAAGTAACTTTCGTCTCCTGTTTTCGGAAATTTTCTCGGGGTTTACGTTTGTCGATGGTCACACTGTCAAGATTGATCGTGCTTTTTACGACCCATTCGTATTTTTTTCATTTTCAACTTTTTTCACCCGATTTATGGGCACTGTTTACCTTATTTTTACTTTTTATCGCATTTTACTTTTTTTTTTAAATGTTGCCTGGCAGAGAGAGCCTCGTTTCTTTGCACCATTAAAACGTCAACGGACCAACCAATCTTCAGGTTGCTCCACAGTGGCTCGGCAATAAATCTGAAGGTTTATAAGGCAAAAGCCGGGTTTCGATACCCGCGGTGGGTACAGCACAGATAGCCCGTCGTACAGCTTTGTGCCCAACAACCGGAACAAATCCTTCCATTAAACAGTATATATTTCACTTCTTTAGGAAACCACTGAAGTAAGGTTTTATTTTTTTGTTTTAAAGTTCGCCATTTAAAGTTCAAATTTTGAGTGTAATATGAAAAACCTTTATTATTATATTTTCTTAATTTAGTTTGCCTCCTTGGTAAAAGAATGGCCAAAGAGTTGGTGGTGGGTGGTGATGAGTAGCTGCCTTCCCTCTAGTCTTACACAGCTAAATTAGGGACGCTAGCGCAGATAGCCCTCGTGTAGCTTTGCGCAAAATTAAAAAATAAACAAACACGAATAGTGGGATTGACCGTCACATTATAACGCCCCCACGGCTGAAAGGGCGAGCATATTTGGTGGGATGCGGATTCAAACCCGCGACCCTCAGATTGCGAGTCGAACGCCCCAACCACCTGGCCATGTTATTTATTTCTCTGTGATAATAATTTATAAGAATGGTTAGATGTTCTTTCGGATATCTTACCAAAGTTTTAGTAGCTCGTTCCCATTGGAACTAGCGCAGTGTTTCTTAATTCTTTTTTCCGACACCAGGGACAGGACCGCTAAAAATACAGGTACAGCTGGAAAAACCATTACGATTTAACACATGAATATTCCGTCAGTTTTTGTTGGCTTGTCGTGAGATATCACGGACGGGTGGTTGAGAAACACTGGTGTTAAAATGTGATTTGTCATTTTCACGCGTTTAAACGCTGCTTGGGGTCGTCTGGCATATTTGAATACAATATTTTACAAAAAAAAAAAATGACTCTAGACAAAAAAAAAAAAAAAAAAAAAAACTAGCATAAAATGTGATTACGAAATGTTTGATTCACGGTAGTAGTCTTTAGAGGAAGCCATTAAAAACTGCAATGAGATCGTGCGTTTATTTCCATCGTAATGAGCGCGTGCTGTATGGAAGAAAGCGAAATCAAAATAAACGAATCAAAGAGCTTTTAATATCTTTATGTCAACATTGCCGTTAAAATGAAGCACCAATATTACTCTAGTACGTCTTGTACTTGTATACAGTATATCATTTAACAGACATATCTATATGTATGTATGTACCACTGTAAGCGTAGAAATCCATACAAAGAGATGAGATGCACGTGCTGACAGCGTGACTGAATCATCCTTGTATAGATAGAGTTTATTTCTTTTTGGAAATTTTGTGTTCGAATTTCTCTCTAATCTCTTAATTTAACTATATATATATTTTTTTAACTTGTGAAAAGAAAGTCCGATAGGATGACGTACTGTAGTCTTATGTTAGTTGCTATGGTAACATGATCGTGCCAAACTTTTCTTTTTTTTTTTTTTTTTCTTGGAAAAATATATTTAACATGAACTGTTTACTGTTACGTATCTCTTTGCACAGAAAGACGTAGTTTTTACATCATGTTGATTTTTCTCTCGCACTCTGCAGCTGGTGTCACTTTCAAGTACGGTGTGTATGTTTGTCTGTTAAAACTCGTTATAGAATGAAGCAGAAAGATATTGCAATATGAACATTATTTCGGTTGATGTATTACACTGTAGGCATTTTCTGTAATACCTTTTAATAGGATCTTACGTTTTTACGAGTGGATACAAACTGTCCGAACTCTGACACTGTTTTTTTTTTTTTTTCCTCTTAGATCTTATCTTTAACGGAAACACTAATTTGTATGGTATAAATAATTTTATGAGAATAATATACATGAACAAAAACTTTTGTAAATATTTTTATTTGTGACAGTAAACTTCTGTTCACGAGTTTTACTCCTCGTGACGTCATATCAGTGCAAATCCGGAACAATAGTGAAAGCACGCCTCCTCCACGTACCGTGCTTATGTCATCTCGCAAGCAGCAAGGTACTAGCGAAGACTATATATATAAATATATACACGACAGTGCTCACATCACAACCCGATGAACACAGATTATTTAAATGTCATATGATCAGATAGCGAAATGTACACTCTTACGAGTTGAATAGCCAGACGAAAAAACCCTTATTTCTAACATTCTCTTTACCCTCAAGATAATGCAGGGCTTGTCACGTTGTGCTTGGAAAGGTCCTGAGGTGCCCACGTGTGCCTCCCCCCCCCCCCCCCACCACACACAAACACACAATACAAAAGGATTGATATCAATACTATTACTACCTACGTAAAACATTCTATACAAGTTAAAATAATCTATACATTAATGTACATGGTTTCATCCCACCATGCAGTTAGGAGTTTCATTCCAAAAACCTTGTTATTAAACCAATCTTGCATTCGAAGTATCTACACTAGGGGTGGGTGGGGGGTGATTGATTGATTGCTCAAATTTTAATATTGCAACAAAAGTACTTGAAGTTTTGAATTATTTCTTAAAAGGAATTACTTCTTAACTGTCTGATTCGTAAGGTCCATGCTTCCTAGTTTAAAGGTTTAAAACCTAGAGGGCTTCTAGAAGATATTATTATACAAGGAGTTAAAGTATCACACTAGCTAATTGTTTGGTTGAAGAAAAAAATGTCTTTATCCTCGGCGAACTGAAGGAGAAACAAAGTTGTTCATTGTTTCAAACCAGACTTTCTCCTATCCCCCTGATGAGTCAACGATAAAGTTATGGACTTATAATGCTAAAAATCCGGGATTCTATTCTTCGCGGTAGGCTATCTGCGCTCTGTCCATCCTGTGGCTTTGAGCTAAAAAAATCAAATATTGTCGGTGATCTGCATCTCTTAATATTATTTTGGGTTCTTATTTGTGTGTCATCTCTCCCATTAGCGTCGCTACAATAACCTATTTTGGGTTCTTGTTTGTGTGTCATCTCTCCCATTAGCGTCGCTACAATAACCTATTTTGGGTTCTTGTTTGTGTGTCATCTCTCCCATTAGCGTCGCTACAATAACATATTTTAGGTTCTTGTTTGTGTGTCCTCTCTCTCATTAGCGTCGTGCCATGGAATCGTTTTTTTTTTCTTTTTTGGTATTTCCAATCTTCTGTAAAATTTACAACAACGTGAACATCTTGTTTCACCAACAGCGCAGCGAGAAAAGGTGAAACGGAAAGATACAGAGGAAATAATACTGAACAATGGCCGCCCTTGCTTCTAACGTTGGTGAGAGGAGAAACACTTTGACATTGTTTTCATATTCATTCCATTTCTCGTAATATACATTTATAACTTTTTAAATATAGTATAAAAATACGTTGATTTATTTATTTATTTATTATTATTAATAATAATAATTTCAATAATTTGAATTTATTGACATATTCACACACTTCTAGTAGCGATAACAACTGTAGCCAATTCCCGATGACGTAACAAAAAATGTTCCTTAATGTCTGCTTGATTTTTGTTTTTCTCCTCTTTGTTTCCTTTGTTTAATATTAGTGTACGTTCAAAAATAAAGTACCTACCGGAATGTATGTACTGCTCGAAACTCAAATCTACTAGTACATTATACACTAACATCTTGTTTTTATCCGTTCAAGAACACAAGTGCTTGGGAGCGGGGGGGGGTAAGTTTAAACGTAAGCAACGTTTTGTTTAAATGTTCTCGTACACTTAATTCAAGTGTGGTCTTGAAGTGTTTTTTTGGGGGGGGGGGGGTTACTTAGTTTTGAGGTGGGATTATGGTATCTTTATCGTTATATATATCATTTGAATCTTTTACAGACTTAAGTACGATATTTCAACGTGAAGTTTACTTTTTACTTTAAATACCTTCGAAAAGTTAGAGTTTGTGTTAATCCACGGTATTATTTGAAAGGTTAACAGTCCACTATTCTTAAATATATATATATTACATATACAAAGAGCAGGTAAACACTGGGAACGACACGTGTTCACATTGAAAACTGGTTTTGATACTTAAAGGATTTCACTAATTTAAGTTTATCATTCATGCTCTCAATAGTTTCGGATCCAGTTGACCACAAGGTCCGAAAAAACTGGATTTCTCGGAGAGCTTCTCACCTTGTATTTTAACCACAACTTATACGAACAGGTTGTCCGAGGACAACTTTCGCCTTGTCGAGTAAAAATTCATTTTTAGGAATAATAGTGAACTCTTGTTGGACTTTCTAAGAGTGATTAAAAAAAAACAAAAAAAAAAACAAACCAACGTCTCGTTTTATTAGTCTCCACGTACTATTTATCATTATGGGATGGAACACTTAGAACAGCTCCTGGAACGAACTCAGAGGAAACGAATCACTGGAAGAACCCGAAGGTACAGCATGATGGGATACAATCGGCGTGAGGGAAGAGTTTGGAGAGTATTCGATGCCTGACAAAGACACTGGAATGTGAGAAGGAACGCCAATCAGGGAGGACTCGACCCCCATCGAACACGAGGCTGGAGGGCTAGGTTCTGAGAAGGAACTGGTCGCTCCTGGACTACTAACACTGATGCTATGCCGGTGCTGCGGCGAATGCTGCTGGGGTTGCGGCGAGTGCTGTTTTAAGTTACTCCTACGCCATTTTGCCCTGGCATTCTGGAACCAAACCTGGAATCCAAAAGAAATCATTATTATAAAAAGGTATATTTAAACCTTTCATCCAAACCGTAAAGATAAAGTAATGAAAAACGTGAATCTTAATTAAAAAAAACAAATAAAAATAAATAAATAAAAAACTCCAAAAATCCAAGCTCTTTTCCAGGATTATTGGGCTCTTTGCGTTAACTTTTTTTAACATGTATGAATTCTTAGTATCGTTAGATATGGTCTTTTTTTATAGTAGCGTTCGAGTCAAAATGCATTAAAAAAAAAAGATTATCTGTGTAAAGAAGAATGCCAATGTGTGACATCTACCTAAACCAATTTGTGACATCTACCTGGAGTACTCTCTTGGAAAGGCCCGTCTTTTGGGCCAGTTGTTTCAGGTCTTTGGCATCGGGATTCTGGTTGATTGCGAAATACGATTTCATCGTTCGTAGCTGATGGTGCTTGAACGACGTGCGCATGCGCTTCGTTCGTTGGGGCTGGCCGTTCGGTAGCGACGGCATATTTTGATTGGGTGCACCAGTCTCAAGGGTTGGAATGTTTAAATTGCAGCCTGTTGGGTCAATCAGAGGAACACCTGGAAATACAAAAGTTTCTTTTTCATACGCTATTGACACCAGAAACTACAGACTGCTGGTACAAATTACCCTAGTACTATTGTGAAAAACTCTTAAACAAGAAAGACACGCTCCTCCTTCACGTTTGTCTGATATTAAGCCATGTGCAAACAGTAGTAGAAATTCAAGTTATTAAAATCTTCGAGAAATGAGAAGCGCAAAATAAATAATAATTAATAATATTTATTATTAATTAAATAGTTTATTACTTTATCTACGTCTTGGACGTCTTTAAAACATTTGAACGAAACGAATTTATAACAGTACACAAACCCAAAACATGTGTTTCTAATTATTCGTTATATCAATTCAAGTCTCGCAGTATAAGCTTTTTTATTTTTTATATATTTATGCCAAAACAACTAGAAATACACTAGATAATGGAGCTCACGTGACAGAAGTACTTCAAAACTTACTTGGTGTGGTTATAAATTTTCTTAAAATGGAAATATTCAATAATATGAACCTCGTGCAGCGCATGCGTTGACGATAGTAACTAAAGCTGAGTCACTCTTAAAACTGCACAATGCCCTCGGACGGTATGCTAATATCGAAATATTTGTTATCTTTGAATAAAAACTAGACCCAACAAGGATAGTAACTGTTTACCTGTCCGTCTTCGGGCAACAAGACCGCTGTTTCTGTGTGTGTGTGTGTGGTAATATGTGGTAACTGGAATATTTTATGGTAATTCAATTTGTAGATACTGGTAGTTGAGGTGATTACTAACATTTATATGTACACTAAACGAAGTATACTCTGAGTATCCTTTTGTTATGTAACACCGGCGTAGATGGATTAGATACTAAGTAACTCCAATCACGAAATGCCCTTCTTTTACCCCCTGCAGAAGTAATACTGCATCATAGCTCCAGCATGTAGTGATAGAGGGCAGTGCTGGAGTAACTACATTTTTTGTGGAACTCTTAAGGGAGATAAGAAGGATCCGAAGAGTCGTGAAATTACCAAAATGAAACCACAAAAACTATTTTTATTAGCAGCAAAAATATGTAATAAAATGTTTATTTCTAGTACTAGATTTAAGTAGTAAAGAACAAGAGAGGGGAGGGCAAATATATCCCCAATAAAAAAAAAAAATAAATAAATAAAAAAAAAATTAAATTCTGCTCGGGTTGCCCCCCCTCCCCC